TAATAATCAGGGAAATACAAAATCTAAAAAATAATGCATATCCAGCTCTGCATACCAAGAGATGACAGGAATGTAGAGAAATGGGAACTCTCTTACATTGCTGGTGACAGTAACAATTGACACCTTTTATGTACAGTTCAGTATCACATACTAAAGTCTACCTGTTTTGCAGCTATTCTACTCCCAGTATACTCTTGGTGGAAATGTGTGGGCATGGGCACCAAGACACTTAGTAGAATGAGCATTGCAGTATTTGCTCATAATATGTGAAAATTGGAAACAATTCAAATATCCATGGAAGAATGGATGCATTTTCTTGAATATTATCCATACAGTGGATATTAAACAAATTGCACATCCAGTATAACAACATGGATGAGTCTCAAACATAAAGTTGAGCTAAAGAAGTCAGATATAAAGGAATACATATTTTGTCCATTTATTTAAAATAAGAATATGCAAAACTAAATTATGTTTAAGGAATACATACTTAGGTGGCAAATAAGGAAATTACCATAAAGGTTAGGATAGTGATTACTTTATGGGGAGGGAGTGCGTGGAGATGCTGTAATTCAGAGCTGAAGGATGCTATGAATGTTCAGTTACCTATCCTGAGAGGTAGTTATGCAAATACTTATTTTATAATACTCATTAAATTGGATATTAATATTTTATGTAGTTTTCTGAATGTGTATTATACTTTACAATTAAGAAGTTTTAAAAACTGAGGAGTTAAATACATGGCGCCATTTACGGCCCTACATTATGATAAGTTTGACACATGTTCTTGCTAGTGAGGCTGATGCTCATAATACATAAATTATTAGAAGTATTTCATTTATGTACACTATCACATTGGCGCCATACTCTGCAGGCATGGCAGAAGCTACTGGACTTTTTTCACAACTGAGAAAACGAAAAAGTCTAAAGAAGTTAAGTGGTTTATCAAAATCCACATTGCTAACACGTGACAGAGGTGAAACTTGAAACCAGTGCTTATCCCTTAATCTCCCAAATCAAAGTTAAAAATCAGAACAATGTATATCTGCTATAATTGGTATTTTAAAAAGTGCAAAATAGTAAGTGCTGGAAAGGGTGTGAAGTTGGAACCTTCCTGCATTGCTGATGAGAATGTAAGACAGTGAAGCAGCAGTGGAAAATAGTTTGGCAGTATCTCAAAAAGTTAATAGATTTACTGTATGACCCAAGAAATACATTCCTAGGTATATACCCAAAGGAATCGAAAACAAAGACTCAAACAAAGAAATACTTGCACATCAGTGTTCACAGCAGCATTTTTTACAACAGCCAATAGGTGGAACCAATTCAACAGTTCATCAACAAATGGACGGATGAACAAATATGATGTACATATATAATGAAATATTATTCAGCCATAAAACAAAATGGAATCTGATATACAAAACAACATTGATGAACCTTGAAAGCATGCTGAGTTAAATAAACAGACACAAAAGGACAAATATTGTGATTTCCATTTACATGAGAATAGGGAAATTTGTAGAATAGGGAAATTTATAGATGTCACCAAGGGTAAGGAGGAGGGGAATGAGAAATTTTTGTGTTTGTGTGTGGTGTTGGGGATTGAACTCAGGGCCTCATGCATGCTAGGCAAGTGCTCTACTACTGTACTATATTTCAGCCTAGAAGGATGGAAAATGGGAATTAGTATTTAATGAGTATAGAATTTATGTTTGGGATGATGAAACTATTCTGGAATCTGTGGTGATGGTAACATAATATTGTAAATGTACTTAATGCACTAACTGTATTCTTGATAATGGTAAAAAATTATAAATTTCATGTTATATCATTTTACTATAATAAAAAAGTTTTCAGAAAATACTGGAAATATATTCTGATGAACTTTGCCTACTCTCCATTCCCCAACCAGGCAGCTGAGTTTATTCTGGTTTGGGGTGTGGGGGGTCAGATGTCTTTGGTCCTATTCCAGGAAGATCCTAGAAAGTAGGTAGAGCATACATTTCCCATTTCCAAGGTTAATTTCCTACCAGTTTTGAAATGCTTCATGTTCTAGAGATCCTCCACAACTGACAAGAGGGAACATAAAAGACCAACCAATTCTACATCAATCAGGAATAAATGAGTGTGTGTACTATGTGTATAGGAAGAGGGTATGTGAAGATGCTCGTGCCAGCCTTAGAGAAAAGGAGTGAGGCTATGTGGGTGAAGCAGATGGAAATAGGGTGATCTGAATTATTTCTCCTTGGCATGAGGCAGCTGAGGTAGCCTGTTTTGTATATAAAAAATAAACTAGCATAAAGATAAAGATGTAAATTTTTCAGACTTTTTGGTGTTTTACAAAAACTCTTTAGACTTGGTCTTTAAATTTGCTTCCTTGAGGTAGTTTTCCTGTTTAAAAATTCAAATTGTATTACTTAACTCCATTGCAAAGAACATTCAAAAATATTCTTTAGTGTTCAGCTACTGTGGGAATCTACCAAGAGATAATAATGGAAATATTAAGACAAATAGTAAATATTATTTCTCTTTAATGCTTTAAGTAAGCAAACTGTTTCTTCTAATTTAAGTTCATATGTACTTCTTTATCTAGTCTTAGAAAAAGCTTTTAACTTTTTCTGCTTCTATTGAAAAGTTTGATTTTGTGACATGTATAATATTTTTTTATTTCAGCATTATTTCATACTTCATATTTTTGCAAAAATCATATAATTGTACCCATTAGTTTAAAAATTTAGATTCATGTACAATGACAATTATGTGAAATTGTCATGACAACATAGTATAGTGGTGATGAGCAGTGACACTAAAGCCGACCTTTATGGCTTTGAATCCTGGTTCACACTTACTAGCTGTGTGACCATAGGAAAGGAATTTGACCACTGTATTATCATAGAGTTTATTTATACATAAAATGTAGCTAACAAGAATATCTAATATATAGAATTGTTGTGAAAACTAAGTGAATTAACATTTGTAAGCTACTTGAAATATTATCATGCTCACAGAAAATGCTATTTAAATATTTGTTTAATTAAATAGAAGTTAGCTGTGGTCCAGACTTTGCATTTTTATTTTTTTATGTGTGAAATGAAGATTTTTTTAACACAAAAGTTTGTGTGAATATTACTGAAACATAAATAGTAATGTTTGCTTAGAAATTCTTTGTAAGAAAGTTGGTAGAAGTTACTCTTTACTATGTAATTACCAGTACAGTCAGAATGCATTTTCAAAAGAAGATAGATTAACTGTCAACTAATACAGAATAGTGGGTTTTGATCAAACACTTTAGTTGATTTTATACCTCTGTCCTAAATAGAAAGGGAAGCTTTTACATAATAAAAGGTATCAGATTAATCATAACTCCACTAACTCTTGACATAATAATTAATCAATATAAATTACCCATGATGTTAAGAAAATACATAATCTGTGATATGAGAAATCAATTATTTCATTATTCATCATTCATTATAGAATTTTGATTTAATTTACTTTGTTGTATATTATTTTACTGGTCTATTAACTTAATAATTTGAGCAATTGCTTATAGTTTTTGATGTTAGATAATAGATTTAGTGGATATTATTAGATAATTTATGCTGAAAATAATGTTTATGTATATTATGGAAAGTGCTGCCATTTTAATTTGAACGCTGTACAAAGTTGATTATAATGAATCCATTTTCTTTCAACAAAATTCAAATAAAACAAATATAAATGTAACTTTCCATTGACAGGTTACGATAGTTTCCAATATTGTCTAACATAGAATAGTAGCTAATAGTATTCTTGACCTTCACTTTTTTCATTTATCTATGAATTTATTATTCTGTCACCAAAGGATTCTGATGTCAAATGAAGAGAATAAAATGAATATTTTTATTCTTATTGTTTATTTTTAAACCACTGCTAATTACCAGTCTCCTTCTGTTGCTACTTATCCTCTTAGAAATTTCTCATAGAGATCTTTGTTTTGACTTTTTAGCAAATTCCTTTTCAGGATTACTTGGACTTAACACTTCAGATAGAGTTGTTTATTTGTATTTTTTCATTTGGATTTCCTTGATTGTTTCTCTCTAGACATATAAATAGGACCGGCATAATGCTAATCAAGGTTTTTCAAAGAAAAGGGATTATATGGGTGTACGATTTTCTTTGGAAATTCCAAATTTCCAGAGCTTTGAGTGAAAAGTAAAAAAAAAAAAGCAGCGGGGAGCATTTATCGGCAAATATGACATTAATCAATATGAAGTTACTCATTGTCTTTGTCTGTCTGATTTATTATGAACAATCACATATTTTACTATATTAATATTAATAGTTTATTTACAGGATGCTGCCCTGGGGTCCAGTAGAAATGTGTAGTATATACGCTATATTGTCTTTGTAAAATCAGGAAAAATCACATCGTCTAAAATACATTTAGTTGTAAGGGTTATACATAACCTGTAATGATCAGCACTGAATAGCCTAAGAATATAAAATTTCTAATCTAATTATGAATGTTAGTCTTTAACTTTTTCTTTTAGATTACCCTTAGATATAATACATCAACAATATATTTTAAATTCTAATCAGTATTTCCAGCTTCTTGGAAACATAATTACTGTTAATATGGTTTGTCAAAAATTCTCATATCCCATATTTTAAAGAAATATTTAGCTCCACACATTACTTACAGGGACTGATGATGGATTCTAAATTAACACGAGCCACATAAACAGTTTCATAGCATTTGAGTTCAATGATTGTTTATGGGATATCTTGAGATAATAATATCATATGTTGCATCTATGTTCAATTTTTTGAGTAAAGTTCTATGAGCTTCCTTGACCCCTGATCTTGGGGAGAAAATCTTTTTATATGAATTGCACTGTTATTCCAGTAACATTTTTCATGTAGGGTGTATAAATTACTAAACACATAGCCCTTTAGTGAGAAATGTTAATACTAATTTGCTTGTAATAATCTAATTTTTTACCTGTCATTTTTAGGTATTTACTACCAGGAAGTACCCAGTTCTTCATGAGGACACCAATCTACAACACAAAATACAATTCTCCTGGAATGACTCGCTCCAATATTTTGTTTACATCCCGATATGGCCATTCATGAAACTGAAAGGAAGATCCATCATAGGTCATGCATAATAGCAATTAATTTACTGCCTCAAGTTGAACACACAAAGACAGTAACCCTTAAGTGCTGTTTTATGTATATATGACATATATGTGTGGAAATATATGCACACATGCACTCAAATTATATATGTATGTATATATATATTTATTATAATATATGAAAGAAGAATTAGCAGAAAACTGAATATAAGATTTAACCTTTCTGGAAATGTAATAAACCATGTTAAATTGTTTACACAAATATGTGAATGTCTAGAATTTGCTAGGTTTATAATTCCTTCCTACTAGAAATGTTATTTTTGCTGCAGAGATTATAAAATGGAATTGATCTTGATGATCCCATTACAGTGTTAAATTATTTTCTAGATAACACGGCTTTTGACTTGAAAAAGCATTAATAGTATAATATATTATAGTTCTGTTACACTAGCCATTTAAAATGAAACACAAAAGATCGAGAAGCCTGGTGTTGCTTGATGATGGGATTAAGTATAAAAATGGGCTTACCATTAATATACACATGTAAAGTACTAGAAAAAAATCCCAAACTGATTTTCCTACATTTTTATTCCTCTGTGTGGGAATTCATCAACATGTAATAAAGTACATTTTCAGTAAGGATCTGGTAAGATCATATTATGATCTAAAACAGAAGACAATCCATTGGGCTAACAATAAAATGTAATATAGTTTATATCTTTACATTTTATAGGGAGTCATGGAAAGGAACAGAAAATGATGGTAATGACAGAATTCTATATGACTGTTGTGTCTCATAACATTTTTATTTGGAAAATATGTCTTTGATGGGTAAACATATGCTTAAGTACAATTCTTCTGCAGAAGTACAAGAACAGACATTTCAAACTCATTTTGGTGTTAAAAAAATAATGCATCACACTTATTATATAATAAATCTCTAAGTTTAGTATGGTAGTTTCTCATTACACCATGGAAAAATCTAAATGATTCTGAATACAAGATTGTAGTAGCCACATATTACTAATCATTGACATACCCTTGAGAAATTTGTTTTAATCAAAGTACAGTATGAAGTTTTCTTCCTGTCAAATGTTATTATGGATAAGTTTCATAGCAATTTACTTCGATTTCTGGCTTATGGTTTGAAAACCAATGAGTGAGCCTTTAGTTTTCCACAAATATATAAATACCTCTATCATTGAACTCCTTAGAAAGTATATTACTTTCAGAAATTTATTGAAACTTCCTCACCCAGTGGTTCTTCTCATAGATGCTAATGTATTTGCAAAATTCATGAATGTTGTACTTCTTTTTAATATCCTAAAATTTATTTCCAGTAAATCAAGAAACGGCCTCACAGCAGGAGAACTGAGACAGGCAGATTGGCCTGGTTTAATTCAGAAGCTGGATAGTTGACAACCCAGAGTTGTAAGTCAGACAGATTTTTGCTTTAAGGCCATCTTCTGAGAGTGTTGGACCGAAATGATTTATTTCTTTCCTAAATTATTGCTCGTTACTTTATTCTTTTGACTACTTAACATCCACATTCCAGTTGGGAACTTTCTTTGCTGGATGCATCCCAGTTAATTTGCCATTGTCATTGTAGGAAAAGAGGACAAGATATCGGGATGAAGGAAATTCCTAAAAAGTGTTTAGGACTCTATTTTGTGAATTCTTAAACATGGTGTAGCTTTTCCAAAATAAATAATGTAAACACTGGGCTCTTATAACACCACTGTAAGAATGATCAAAAAGTCAGTCATTTCATGTAGTATTTTTAGTCATTTTTTTTTCAAATTCATGCTTTGGCCATGAAGGAGACACAACTTGCAATGGCTGATAAATGCTGTCAACCCAGTTTGATGGTCATTCACTTGCTTTAGCTTAAGTCACAAATGGTCACTTAATTTTCTCTAGTATATGTTTTAGAACTTCTGTGTTTATTCATACAAGAGTGAAATTTTTATTTAAAATAAAAAATGAAAATGTTCAACACTGGGAGGAACCCTTCCTCCAGAAACACACTCACACAATTGAAAGATAAAAGTGAATTTTAAAGAATAGAATTACCCTGCTATTTGATGAACTAAATTTTACTTCTCTAGCTACATACATCTGGCCTTATTTTGAGCACTAGAATTTTATTACCCACATTTGCCTTTTCATACTGATCTGCTTTGATATGATGAGGTTATGAATAAAAGCCATTTGCTCATTGTTTATATATGCTACCTGGCATGCTGTGCACTCTAGCTGCTGTAGTGCTATTCCCTAATGAGCAACTAAGAGGAGAAGACACAATAATGAACCATGAAGTCTCCAGAGACCATAGAAATGCTTTTGAGACATAAAATATCCCTTAGTTTTTATTATAAATTTTTTATTCACAGGGTAAAAATATATCAGCATAAGCAATAGTACAAATTCAACTGTTTTTTTTTTTTTAAAAAAGAGAGAAAGTAGCTTTATTTGAAAAACTGTGAAAGCTGTTCTCACCAGGGGTTTTAAAAGGGAATTTGGTTTACTTACAATGGAAGCATACTTTCACTATGATATAGAAAAACATACCCCTAAATTGGGTAAATCTTAAGACTGGAATGCTTACCAAAGCTATAAGATTGGGTTGATTTCCAGATTGTCTAGGAAAGAACCTTTTTATTTTAAATCATGCCATACCAACCCAGTCTGAGATTGCAAATTAGTTTTCACTCAAATATTCCAGCATTGTCGATTAGTTATCATTTGCTTTATATGATATATTAAAGGTACCGTTCTTCATATTTTGATTCATTTTATAAGCAAAAAATTTTAATGCATTTAATTTACTGTAAGAATATAAAAATGATGTTGTAACAGAATCAAGCATGGAAATGTAAAGGGTAGCCTCTGTTTAGTATGTAGTTGTATATTACAGATAAGATGCCAGGATATGTACACAAATTTTATTATATGTCTACGTTAGGTGTAAATACACCAAAATTTCCTTAGTTCTTCCTCCCGAAATTAAAAAACTACCAAACCAAACAACAAAAGTCCCTTTCTTTTCATTTAATATTTATGCACAATTAGATAATAGTGGCTTCTAGTCATAGGAAATTGAGGGCATCCAACTAAGTGATGTTCATCTAGCTGCCTGACCACAGACATTGTGGCCTTCTGAATTTGGGGGTAATTGGTTACAAAGCAATAGATAACTAATACATCTCAGAGCCTCTGACTATTCTACTATTAGTTTGACAATTTGTTTTTTAAAGAGATTATTATTGTGGCGTATGTAAAAAAAAACTGAAAATGATCTTATTTTAATTTTATTTTTAACTTAGTAGATGAGAATGGAATTTTATCTAACTTGAAATTTCAGATGTTTTAATATAAATAAATTCAAATATCTTCTTCTTTAAAATGTGAAAGTCATTCTGTGTAGAAATTCTCTTCAACACACTACAATATTCAACATTTTCAAAAGTACCCAAAAAAGCTTCATAAATTTTATTATTTAATTTTCTGTAAAGCATTGATTCATTCTTAATTATATATTCTTCAAAAATAATAGGAAGTACCTCAGGAGTGACAGAAGATGCTTCCCATTTTTGTTTTGTAATGCTAATTTACATTTTGAGTCTTGGTTTACTTCATTCTAAGAGTTAACAATAAAAAAATGTAACTATTTAATGAATTGTCTTCCTGTGATCTGATGATTTTTTAAGTATTTGCTCTTCGTTTTAAATTGAGAAATTTGTTTTTGAGAGTCATATTATCTAAATCTTTAGTTATCTAAATATTTTGGACTAATGTTAACTTAAAAATAAATTAAAATTTAGAAATATATTCATGATGAAAATTTTATTCCTTACATTGCTTTCTGTTTCTCTTCTCCCTCTTATCTTTCTCCTTCTCTGAATGCCCTTTCAAGCTTTGAACTTTGCATGGACAAAGTCAAGAAAAGAGAAATCCTGCTTTTTAAACATTCATTGCCCTTGAATTTTATGGTATGTGTTTGCCTGAACAACAATAAAATTTAGATCCAACATGTTACTGGATCAAGTTCAGTTTGCTGAGATTTTTAGGAACCGGGTTGAAGTCTCTATGCCTAAAAAAGCATTAATTACTGGATCCATACAAAAAGCAAGATACGTGGCTACAAATAACATTCTTGCAACCAAAAATTTTAATATTAAAACTTATTGCACACTTTGAGACTGCCGCCATTTTTTTATCTATCATAAATATGTATATAATATATTGAAGGAAAATTGTTCAAATAACATATCCTGTATTAACTGGGCTGTCTTACCTAAGAAGAGTAAATAAAGCTTTCATTTTATCCCCTGCTACTAACTTGAAAGCTATTGGTAAAAACATCACTCAATAGACTAATTATTCTTAAATTAGTAAGAAGACTTACCTTACAAAAGTGACCCCTATAATGCTGATATTTCTCTTTCAAAGGCTAACCACAATTCCTTGTCCTGAGTTCATACAGTAATGACTATACATACTATAACATGTGATTAATGGATTTACAGAAGGTTTTGGATTTGAGGATTAGCTTAAAAGCAGTACATGTACTAACACAAATCATGACTCAAATATTCCCATGTGCTTTACAACCTGTATATGAATCCAAATATTGTCACAGAAAATGTGCTTGAAATGTTAACACAGTATGCAATTAGCATTGCATTGTCATGCTCCAGCATGTGGTATCTGTATGGTGAAGTTATTTCAATTACTCAGATATGTTACTATAATAAAAAAGGTTTAACATAAGAAAGCCTACAGTATGTCATCAAATGCTTATTTCTGTTTCTCTCTCTCTCCGCACATACCTCCCTCTCCCCCTGCTTACTTTAGTAATAGAGATTGGTTTCAAGTTAAGCTTTCAAGGTGATGAGATATACTTTCACAATAATTTTTGCTGCTGTACGGACAGCAGTAGCACTATCCAGGATAGTGCTATCCAGGATAGTGCTACCTGCCATTAAAGTCAGGTCAAGTAAACAAAATGGGTTTGAACTCCTCTTTTGGTTAACTGGAAGGCAGATAGTTCTAAAATTTAGAAATTTCACTTTTATATCTTTCTAGTATTGTGGATTATAGGAACAGTATTAGTAATCTGATTAGAATTATGTCAGAATCTCAGGCATGAAGTTCATTTTTTTTCTGGAATTTATAATTATTCATCATTGTTGAAATTTACACAGTAAGCTTCAAAAGGAAACATGTCCTATTGACCTTCATACCGTTGTGATTTAAGATAATTACATATAAAGAATTTGGAAATGTTTTCCTTCATTTACTTAGTTTTTGCAATGCTGGGAACTGAACTCTTTGTGTATGCTAGCCAAGAATTCTACCTGTATACCTCAACTTAGAATAATTTTCCTTAAAAGAACAAAAGCACTTTGGATAAAATTCCTATCATCCTAGGGGCAGGGTTTGTATACCTGAGAACTGAGCTCTTTAAGAGGCCGAGGCAGAAGTTCAAGTTCAAGTCTAGTTTGGGCAACTTAGTAAGACCCCTGACTCAAAATAAAATAAAAAGGCTGGGCATAATTAAAAGAGAATAAAATCATGGCATTTGCAGGTAAATAGATGGAGCTGGAGAATATAATGGTAAGTGAAATTAGCCAATCCCAAAAAGCCAAATGCCAAATGATTTCTCTGATTTAAGGATGCTGATCCATATGCATATCCATAATATGCTGTGGGGTGGGGGTGGGTGGGAGAATTAAATGAACTCTAGATAGGGCAATGGGGAAAAGGGGAGGGAAAGGAGGGGGGAAAGGGGTATAGGGGTAGGAAAGACAGTGAAATGCGATGGTCATCATTACCCTAAGTATATGTATGAAAACGTGTGGATGTCACATCCTTGCTTTACTAATAGAGATTGGTTTCAAATTAAGTTTTCAAGGTGATGAGATATATTTTCACAGTAATTTTTGATGCTGTACAGACAGCAATAGCACTATCCAGGATAGTGCTACCTGCCATTAAAGTCAGGTCAAGTAAACAAAATAGGTTTATTTATTTGACCTGACGTTAAGGAGGATGTGACTCTACTTTGTGTACCACCAGAGATATGAAAAATTGTGCACTATATGTATAATATGAATCATAATGCATTCTGTTGTCATATATAACAAAGTAAAATTTTAAAAAAGGTTGGCATGTAGCTCATTGTTATAACACTTACCTAATATGCACAGGTCCTGAGTTTAGTCCCCAATACTGGGGGAAAAATCCTATCATGTTGTAGGTACTTTAATGTATGCATGCCTTGCATTAACAACCAGATTGTATAAATGTTAACTTTTCAAAAAATATATATTTAAAATCATATTATTTTTGTAAAGTTAAAATATTCTATACAGACTTTAAAAGTTGGATTATTTGATTTTTTTTCAGTGAAGATAAAGATGAGGTGTGTGGTTTGGCATCTCCCTATTTTACTAAATAATTGACATATAGCAAATTAAATATATATATATATATATATATATATATATATATATATATATATATATATACCATATTATAATTCCATTTAATTAAATTTCTTAAGTATTTAAAATTATAAAGCAAAACATTCTGACATAATTTCTAGTGTCAGAAAACTACATACAGTGCCTTGAAAATGAATATTAAGTTGTTTTGTAGAGAGTAAGATACAGGCATTTCTAGTTCCCAAAAGCAAAAACTCAAATGTTTTCACTGATATGTGGAAACTACCCCACAATAAAAAGGGAGTGGGGAAGAATAGATATACAGTATATTGGGGAATGAAGGGAAGAAAGAGAGAATAGTGAAAGGAAAGACAGTAGCATGAATCTGAAATAATTTTCCTGTGTACATATATGAAAACACCATAGTGAATCCCACCATCATGTATGTTCACAAGAATGGGTTTCTAACTAGAATGAGATATATTCCATGCTTGTGTAATTACATCAATATAATACACATATTCTATTGTTGTGTATAACTAAAAAGAACTAATTAAAAAGGATATAGGCTTTGAATGCTTATTCATTACGTATATAGAATATGGTGACAATAATGCCCATTGCCATGGTCAAGTAAAATTTGAAAACACTGACTGTAAAAGTTGGAATGTGTTTCTCTACTTTCAATACCTCTGAGTCTTTAGTATCTCAAGATGCACTTAGAATCCTAGAAGGGGGTACTGGAGATAAAGCTCAGCTGTACAATGCTTGCCTCACATGGAAAATCTAAATCACCCATTAGCAGAAAAGAACTTTGCATTATATTATGGAATATCTAGAAACACTTGACAGCCATCTGAAAATATAGAAATAAAAAGCTCTGTTTGTGGCTAACCCAAAAAGTTGGATTTTATTCAAAGTTTGTCATATTATTTGTGAGAGTCAATATTATGTCAGATTTTTGTCTATGTTTATTTGTTTAAAGCAACATGGTAGGACTTCCTAAGCCTTAATAAGCTTTGTCACACTTAGTTCTGTTTTATCTCAGGTAAAAATATTGCCCTTTAAAAATATAGTACCTACCATTCATTATATTTAGGAAGTATATATTGAATGGTGCTATAGTGGCCTAAACTGAACTGTTTCATGCATTTTTAAAAAATACTGAGATTTCTGTAGACTAAGTAGTGGGTTGTCTATTACACAGAAATAAGACATTAATTTTTGAAAAACTATATTAATGCATCCTTCAATATTTTGTATAGTAATGGAAACCTGCAATGAGAATAAGCAAATTCCAACTTTTGTTTTAAGAATATATGCAAATGGATACCACCCCTTTAAGTACTGAATAAGTACTGTAGTGACAAAGACTTTCAAGGGCAACCACAAAACTATACACATTTCATTAAGCTTTGTTCTATTATAGCTCTGCTGTTGCTAGTGTTAGAATAAGATAATGTAAAAGATTGAGAGACATAAAATTAATTTTTTAAAACTGCAGCATGCTGTTAGCAGTAAAAATGTTAATATATTGGCCAGTTGATAATATATCTGATTTAGAGGAAAAGCATATGACAATGTATATGAAAAATCGAGAGTATATAAACCTTAATACAATCTAAGAAAACACCATTTCAGCATATTACCTCATTTTCATTAAAATGATGAAAATGTGAATACAGAAAATCACTTAGTCCTTAGGCTAAAAATAGGTAGATCATCAAAACCTAATACCATTTCAGCTCAAATTGGTATTTGTTCAGTAAATGTTCTACATCATAATATAAAAAGTACAAAAGAAAACTCAAATTTGGGGAGAACTTAAAGGGGCTTTTTTAAAATAAGCAAATTTAACTAATTCTATTTGGACTTCCAAACTGAAGCAATAGAGTTGTCATGAAACATTTACAACAAATAAAAAACAAGTAGATTCTTCAGAAATTAGTTTGAGTTTGTATTTTAGCCTCAGGCTTCTCAGCCAAATATTACTTATATTGGCTTTTTGAATTTTTTTTCCCTTCCATTTCTCAGCTTCTAAATTTCATCTCATTTAGCTACACATTTTCTCATGTGTTACTCTACAAATGCTAAGTAAATCTTGCTTATTTTGGCTGTTTTTACTAAAACATTGAATTCTTACATTTATAAGAATGGGTAGAAAAGGCAAAAGCAATTCTATGAATAATAATTTACCTTTTTTGACTAATTGTTTTTTTCTTTGCAATTTGGCTCATAGTGTCCTATTTGACCTCAGGTAAGTGATTATAACTTTTCTAAGTTTTGTGACTGCTCAGACTCTCACGAGAGTTATACATCCTGGTAAATCACAAGAAACACAAAGACCTGAAATGTTCTAATGTTGATTTCTAATGTTGTTTCTACACATGCTAGAAATACTGACTGCAGTTTGCAGATCTGACCTGGGTACCTGTTAGCTGGAGGATTTAGATTTCTAAAAGGCTACATAGAACCCTAATACTTCACCAAATAATGCAAAAGTTTAGGTAAAATTAAAAAAAAAAAAAAGCTCCTCTACTTTATTAGCGCTTATTATTAGTCTATTGTTTTGTGTGTGTGTGTGTGTGT